TGCCCCATCACTGCACCCCCCCCACCCCATCCTCTCCTAGGGAAGAGGAAGCCCCCCCCAATCCAGTTGTGAGCATTGCGATGTAATTAGCCGTTGAACATCAAACGTGATTCCATTAGCCATGTGGCACTGTGTCACGTTTCAGCCCTGTTACTCGTACTTTAATTAGCAATTGCATAGTCAGTAGTAGTCAATCTCTGGTAAATGCAGTTCATTTAGCAATGGATTATTCAACTGTAATATTTGGGGGTGGGACCAGATGACCTCCGGAGGCCCCTTCCAACCCGAATTTTCTGTGATTCTGTGAATACACAATCACAGCTGAGCAGCTGAATATGCAGCTTAATTAATTAATCAATATTAATGAGCTGCTGAATATGCAGCCATGTTCAATCTGTGTTTGTTGTATTTTAGAGATGTTTGATCAGTAGGTGGCTAAATGAGGCGGTATAGTATATGGGTAAATACGGTAGGTGACCAAATGAGATGCGTCATGTGTGGGTAAATGTGGTAGGTGGTTAAATGAGGTGTGCAAAGTATATGATTCAATATGGTAGGCGGACTAAAGAGGCATGTGTCCTATATGGATCAATACGGTAAGTGGCCCAAAGAGGTGTATGTTGTATATGGGTTAGGATGGTATGTGGCCACTAAGGTGCGCGTCAATATAGTAGGGGGCTATATGGTGGGGCGGAGTCATACCTGGATCAATGTGGTGGGTGGCTGAATAAGGCTGCGTTGTATATGAGCCAATACAGCATGTGGCGCAATGAGGTGCACGGTGTATATGCATCAATATGGTAGGTGGCTAATGAGGTTCAGCCCACACTAGGTGTGGGGCTGGATTCCTGCTGGGCTCCTGGAGGCCGGGTGGGCGGAGCTCCCAGGATGCCCTGGGGCCCGAGCCCTGCCCCCAGCAGCTCTTAAAGAAACAGTCCCACCCACGGGATATAGAAAACAAGAGCCAAGCTTTATTCCTGGCGTTGCTTTAAGATGGGGGAGGGGAGAGCTGGGCTTGATCTGGCCTCACATGGTGCTGGGGGTGGGGCCAGGCCGTCATTCTTCCTTTTCCGGAACCAATGGGGTCCTCTCGTTGGGCTTGGACCGGCCTGGAAGGGAAGAGCTGCCTCAGTTTCCCTGCACTGGGAGCGCAGAGGGAGAGCGCAGGCCGAGACCTAGGGTCTCTGGGAGGGGGTGGGGCTGGAGCGGGGATGGGAGCCCCGACACCTGGGCTGTCCCTGCACCCGGGCCACTTAAGGCCTGGGTGTGGGTGTCGGGCAGGGTGGGGCCTCGGTTTTCACCCCATTGGGCAACTGCAGCTGGGTAGGGCCTGACTGGCACCCACACATCTGAGGGGGGTGGGAGGGTCCCAGGCTTAGCCCTGCCTGTCCCCGGGAGCAGGGAAACTGAGGCACCGAGAGCAGGAGGGATGTCCAGGATCCCAACCGCCTCCCTGAACCGCATTCCCTTGCCTCAGAGCTGGAGGGGACCCAGGGGTGCGGGCTCCTAGCCCCCCCAGCAGAGAGCCCAGGCCTCCGAGCAAGCCCCGGGTACCTCTGCCAATGATGCTCTTGACAATGTTCCAGATCCAGCGGATGATGTTAATCACCCACTTGCACTGCTGGCACATCCTGTCACGCTGTTGCTTCCTGACAGACACACGGGCACGACCGTGAGGCCCCAGGCCAGAGCCCACCCCCACACCCTACCCCCAGATGCCTGGGTTCTCAGGCCCGAGAGAGGCCTCCTGCCACCCCCCTCCCCCAGCAGCTGGCTCAGCCCTCCATCCTCTGTCTGTCTGTCCATCCCAGAGAGCCCAGGAGTCCAGCTCTGCATCCCTCTATCTGTTTGTCCACCCCTCTGTCTGTCCATCTGTCCATCTCAGAGAATCCAGGAGCCCATCCATCCCTCTGTCCATCCATTTGTCCAGTCGTCTTTCTGTCTGTGTGTTCGTCTCTCCCCCTATCCATCTGTCCATCCATCCATCTGTCTGTCCATCCCAGAGGACCCTGGAGTCCAGCCATCCCGCCATCCCTTTGTTTCCCCATGCATCCACACATCTGTTTGTCCATCCCAGAAAACTCAGGAGCCCAGCCATCCTTCCATCCATTTATCTTCCTGTCCATCAGTCTGTTTGTCCATCCCTCCACCTGTCTGTACCCCTATCCACCCCTCCAGCCCTGCCCATCTGTCCTTCCACCCCCCTCATCTCCCCCCTGCCCCCCAGCCCTTGCTCCCCCAACATCCAGTCTCTTCTCCCAGCCCTGACACCCGGGGGATTGAGACACCCAGTTTCCCAGTGCCTGGAGGATTGAGACACCTGGCACCCTGACACCCAGGGGATTAAAACACGCAGTGCCTGGGGGGTTTAGACACCCTGTGCTCCAACACCCAGGGGACTGAGATGTCACCCCAGCCCTGCCCCTCCATCTCCCTGCTACTCACCACCACGTCCTGGTCCTGGCAGCTGATTCCTGGCAGCTTCATCTGGCAGCTGTTGCAGCCCCAGGCGTTTTAAAGGGCCCCGCATCACCCCGCCCGGCTTAGCCACCCCCACACCTGTCCAGCCGGTCCTGGCTCCCTCCCCCGCCTTCCTCCCTTGCTTACCCTACTGGCAGGGGGATGGGACCTGAGCATCACAATTCCCACAGTCCCCCAAGTGCCAGGGAACTGGGTATCTGGATTTTCTGGGCACTGTAGAGGTGAGGTGCCAGGCATCTCAATCCCCTGGGTATCATGGTGCTGGGTGTCTCATTCCAACAAGCACTGGAGAACCAGTTATCTCCATTCCTGGGGCATTGTGAAGCCAAACATCTCAATCCCCTGCGATCAGGGCACTGGGTGTCTCAATCCCCCAGATATTGGGGTGCCAGGTGTATGGGTCTCCCGGGCACCAGGGTCCTAGGTGTTTCAGTCTCCCAGGCACCAGGGCACTGAGTGTCTGGATTCCCTCGGCATCATGGGGCTGGTGTGCTGGGCCTCTCAATCTGCCAGGTATAGGGGTGCCAGGTGTCTTAGTCCCCTGGGTATTGGGGCACCAGGCATCTTAATCCTACAGGAACTGAGGCACTGGCTGTCTCCATTCCCCAGGCATCACACCTCCTTGGGTACTGAGGTGCCAGGTGTCTCTATCCCCTGGGTATCGGGGTGCTAGGTATCTGGATCCCCTAAACCCCATGGGGTGGGGTGCTACGTGTCTCAATCCCCAAGGCACTGCATGGCCAGGTGTCTGGATCCCACTAGATACTATAGGGCTGGGTGTCTGGATCCCCTCGGCACTGCGGAGCCAGGTGTCTCAATCCCCCAGGCACCGGGTGTCTCAATCCCCCAAGCATCTTGGGGTGGTGGTGTAATACCTGATGCACTGTGAAGCTGTGGGCACTGTGGAGCAGGGTGAGGGAGTATCTCAATCCCCCAGGCATTTGGTGTCTCTGTCCCCTGGGCAGGCACCATGGGCTGGGTGTCTCAATCCCCTGGGCACTGGATCCCCCTAGGCACTGGGGGGCTCGGTGTCTTGATCCCCTGGGCACCAGGTCTCCATGACAGTTCACTGGAGAGGAAGCGGGGGCACGGAGCTTTGGGGCCTCACCCAGAATCCTCTGCTGCCTGGATCAATGTCCAGCATGCCACAGGGCAGGAGGTCAGGGGCAGGTGATGCATGCCCAATTGATGCCCATTGGCTCGGGTCAAGCCCAAGGAAATTAAAGGCCCCATATGGGGGGAGCATGGGAAACATCCGGAGCCAGACCCTGCCCTGACACCGACCGAGGCTGCCCTAGATTGGCGTCGAGGTCACAGCACCACACCCGGACACCTGCCTTCCAGCCCCAGCTCTCGTGCCTCAGTTTTCCCAGCTGGGAAAGGGGTTGATCCAGATTTGTATAGCGCCTAGTGAGGGAGCAGGGACAGCACCGGACACTGGTGGGAACTGATGCATCAGCCCCATGTGCCCCAGGGTGAGGGGAACGCTACGGTGACAGCACCAATTCCATCTGTAGGGGGTCCCGGCTGCCTGAGGAGGGGCTCAGTTGCCAATCAGACACGACAGGTGGGTGGGTGGGTGGTTGATTGATTACTACCCTCCTGATACCATTGACTGATTACAGTAACCTATGAATTACACATTATATTAGTGTTGGATGTATTATGAATCACTGATCTGATTCCAAGCCCCTTGTTTGACTGATTGATTACGACTACTGCTAATAATGGCATTTATGGATGGCAACAATCTAATGATTATAAATTGTGTTGAATTTATTCTGAATATCAGCTCAAACTCCAGGCCCTGGATGGATTGATTACTATGACGACTGATACCATTGATTGATGATGACAATAACTTATTAATTACAAATGATATCTGTGTTGGATTTCTTGTGAATCAGACGATTGATTGAAACATCAATCAGTTGAGTGAATAAATGATTGATTGACTGATCGATTGATTGATCAATTAATTGAATGATGACTGCCGCAGCTAATAATGACATTTATGGATGACAGTAATCTATTGATTATAAATTACATTTATGTTGATTTTTTTACAAGTATCAGATCAAACCCCAAGCTCTTGATATGCATGATGAACCAATTACTACGGCTACTACTAATAGCATTAACTAATTACAATTATCCATGTAATGGTATTTGTCTGGAATTCATTGTGAACCTCAGCTCAAACTCCAGACTTGATTAGTTGATTGATTGATGGCCTGACATTTATTAAGGGTACCAGGAGGCTTGCTTTCTCCAAGCCGCCTACTGATGATGAGCTATATTTCTTCTGTATTTCTGGGAATGTTCCTTCCCACTGAATTGGGATCACTTCATTGCTAACAGGTAATTAACTAAATAAATGATTGATTGATTCATTAATTAATTACTTGGTTAATTGATACGTGTTTGACATGACAGACTTCTTCCATTGCCTGGTGCTGGGGGAGGGATCTGACCTCAGGTACATTCAGTGCCTAGGGGGGAGAGGGGTTCCCCATCCCCAATCCCCACCAATCAGGTGCCCCATTGCTCTGGCATGGAGCTGGGCCTGAAGATCCACCAGATTCCCAGACATCCCTCTACCCACAATCCCCTCTGCTGCTTGCAAGGGGGCCTCTAAAGGGATGTGCTCTGTAGTGCTAACAACAGGGACTCCTAGCAAAAGAGGGACCCCCATGGGCAGGAGGAGGTCCTCCAAGGGCGTCGCCCCCTGCTGGACACCCCCTGCTACTGCACCTCCCCTACAATGGGCACAGGTTCATTGGCAGGGTGAGCGGGGTTGATGTCCAGCCTGGTAACAAGGAAATGGGTTATTAGGGGGAGGGACCTGGAACTGGCTCCACAGGAAGCTGGCAGGGCAGGGCAGGGCAGGGCAAGGATGTTTATGGGGCAGAAAGTAGGAGCTGCCTTTCCCAGGACTATTGTAAAGGCTCTTTTGCCCCAAGCGGGGAAGGGAGAGGGGAGGGCAAATTGAGGAGGGGACACAATCTGGGGATCATGGGAGGTGTTGCTTCCTTGTGGCCATTCAGGGCTGCAGCCCACAAACCGGGGGAGGGAATGGGGCAGGTTGTTGTGTAAATATGGGTCTTTTATACCCCTGTGTGCAAGGGGAGGGGGGAGTGTGGCCCAGACACCTGTGTTGGTGTGTGTTTGTGCGTGTATCCTGGACACCTGGGTCCCCTGCGTGTGACCTGGTTCCTGGGCCTGGGCAGGGCATCCTCTGAGCCCATGCTTTAATGAATTAATTACAGCTAGCACAGAGCCCTTGGATCTTCCTGTCCCCGACCCCACCCTGCACCAGTGGGGCACGGGCGTGTGTGCAGGGACAGGGACAGTGCCCCCTGCTGGCTGAGGAGGGGAACTGCATCATGGGATGTCAGCCTTGCTTGCGTTCATAGGCTCACGGACTGTAGCAGGGCGCGTGGGCGGGGGTGAGACAGAGAGCCTGTTGGTGGGGGGGAGAGTGTCCTGGACACCTGGGTCCCCTGGGCATCAAACAGGCTCTGGCAGGTCCCAGACTGCACCCCCCCCCCAGCAGCAGCAGGAGCACCAAGGGGGAAGAGGGTCATGGCAGGGGGGCGTGCGATTGCAGAGGCTCCTGGAGCAGCAGTGGACCCTAGCGTCCGAGGGTAGCAGCAGACAGTCCAGAGGCAGCAGAAGTCGGGTCTGGCAAAGCTGCGGAGCAGGGTCACAAGGTGGCTATGTTCTGCGGGGGAGGGAGAAGGGGGGGCAGTAGATGGGACTGGAAGCCCAGAGGTATCTAGGGTCCCAGTCCCCCCTCTTCTAGGTGCTCTCTCGCAAGATCCACGCCAATGGTGGGCATATATTCACCCTCACCCCTGTCTTCCTGCATCATGTTGGGCAGGGCGATCTCTTGGGGCTGGCAAAAAACCGATGCAAAGTAATCATTAAGCAGGTTGGCTTTTTCCTGGGTGTCAGTTGTCA